TGAAGTAACGAACTCCTCTTTCAAAGGCAGTTGCCTCTGTGTCTGTCACCTTACTGTGATCTGATTAAAACAAAATCCCAAGTACATTTTAAGACACCATCTTCTGGTCAGCCACATTGTTTAGAGCAGTGTTTCTCAAGCTGCCTGTGGTAAAGGACTCATTTCTGCTTTTCCCAATTCTTCATGAACTGATACTATTGTAAAACATAATAACAATCAATTTCTAGAAAAATCATCACATTCTTAGATGTTATGACTATGTATAATTGTCATAAAAGTTTCTAAATGCCCCTCTCAGTTTCCTTACTTGTCTCATTGCAGACCAATAACAAGTCATGTACTAGCTGCCTGTGAATCACACCGAGTAGAGCTGGTTCAGGGGAATGAATCAGTGATTCAGTGGGGGTGCCCAAACATATATGTAAGAATAGTAAGCTTACCAATCCAGCAACATGGAAGAAGAACAGGCAAGGGCTTCCTCTGTTATGTGCTCCTTTACCACACAGTGTATGTGTCCTTTTAACACACAGTGACTACATCTACTCATAAATGAGCCTCAGTCAACATTCTGGAATCTAACCAATGTAGCTCCTCCTCTCTGGTACAAGGATGAGGCAGAAGAACAAAATAAGTCAGGATAATCCTGTTTTCTAGAGACCTATATATAGCATATGGCGTGTATCTAACAATGACATTTATATAAAATTGTCTACGATTAGTGCTTTTCTTGATGTGGTCCCCAGTGATCAAATTCATTTATTGCCTTAGAAGTTCGTGGGTTGCTTAAAGCCAAAGCAGGAAAAGCCTACATAACAAGTGAAAGACACAGGTGAGAGAATGGAGTATGCAACTAGAATTATCCAAAGAAAATATACCAACCTGGGGACAGGGGCTTTGTACATTACAGGAAGAGACAGGAACTGAAGTATAGAACCAGAAATGGAATTGTAGCCAACAAAAAGATAAGGGCAGGGATGTTAAAGAGGAGCCCCAAGGCCCTTCCAGTGTTAATATCAAAAGTATTAACAGGCTGGGCACGGTGCCTCACTCCTGTAATCCCAGCACTTTAGGAGGCCAAGGCAGGAGGATCACTTGAACCCAGGAGTTCAAGATCAGCCTGGACAACATAGAGACCCCATCTCTATTAAAAAAATTTTTTTTAATTAGCCAGGCATGGTGGCACATGCCTGTAGTCCTAGCTACTTGGAAGGCTGAGGCAGGAGGATGCAGTGAGCTATGATCATACCACTGTATTCTAGCCTGGGGAAAGAGTGAGACCCTGTCTCCAAAGAAGAAAAAAAGAAATATCAAGAAAGGTTTCTTTAGCACCCATAATATATGCACTACATTGTCATAGTCTCAGCCCACAAAGAACCTTAACAGCCCAATCATTTTATAAGAGGGTTAAGTCCTAACCTCTAAGACAAAAATCTCTTATAATTAAAGATTATGGTCAGGCGCTGTGGCTCACGCCTGTAACCCCAGCACTTTGGGAGGCCAAGGCGGGTGGATCACCTGAGGTCAGGCGTTAGAGACCAGCCTGGCCAACATGGTGAAACCCCGTCTCTACTAAAAATACAAAAATTAGCTGGGCGTGTTGGTGGGCGCCTGTAATCCCAGCTTCTCAGGAGGCTGAGGAGGAGAATTGCTTGAGCCCATGGGGGTGGAGGTTGCAGTGAGCCAAGATCGCACCACTGCACTCCAAACTGAATGAAGGAGTGAGACACTGTCTTTAAAAAAAAAAAAAAAATTAAGATTGTCTAAGGGCAATCATTTGTCAAGTTTGTTTCTCTCAAAACAGTGTTCCTCAAATTGGGGTTGCATCCCCTTGGGGCACCTGAAGACTTGCCTAGCACAGTTTTAAGGAACCCAGTTTCTAGATCTTTAATTTATATGTACCTGTGCCTCAGATCAGTCCTGTGGTCCAAAATCACACCATCTGCCTTTCCCTTTTCCCTCTTCATACCCTTCTCCCTCCCACTTTACAAAAGGAAGGCATACCTCTATCATCCCAAATCTTATGTGGTGCATTGCCCTAAGGTATGTAAATCTTTGGAATGCCAAACAGAAGGACAATTGAAAATATTAATGTCTACAAAGTTTTCTTTAGTCCAGGAACCTTAAATCTATTGTAAGGTTTTTCTGAATTTATCTATTTTACATATTTCTGTTAAGAGTGAAACAGAATTATAACTGGGGATGTTGAGATGTTTTAATTTCAGGAGATTGTTGCCCTTGCAATACATACTAATACATTTATTAATAGTGAAAAATGGGATCATACTTTTTCAAATGAATATAAATCTAAAGCAATTTAGCCAATTGCTTTGACATTGAGGACTGACTGCTCATTAGATCATGTGGTTGAACATTCTCAGAAATGAGCTAAATCTGTGACTTTAAGGTAGATTTTGATAAAAATTTAAATCATGTGATAAGATAAAATCATATTAAAAATAAATGTTGGCAATGATAGAAAGACATTAATAATATTTTGATTATTTCAACCATCTGTTGGGTTAAACGCGCTTCTTTTAAGTACAAGAGTAACTCATATGAGAATAACCCACACAATTATTAGTAAATAATAAAGCTTTTTTGATGTCCTCAGAAATCAAGAAAGGGAATGTGTATAGGTAACAAATCTTTTGGCAAATTGAGTTTTCAGTTCTTTGCTTTCAGTAAAATTGAAAAAAGACTTAATTGCCAGCCGATAGATTATTACAATAAATTTTGCTGACAGTTTGCTATATACTTTTGGTATATAACTTGGAAGGAGTCTAAAGAATTGAGTGATATTACTATAACAAAGTTTTTCCATTCCAAGATAATATTTATGTGAATAAGGTTTTAGCACATAAAATCGATTATTAGAAAGGTGGGGAGGATTGATGTTGAGCCATGTCTCATTCTAATAATAAGTAATACTACCAACAAATATTTAAACACCAGTTGAAAAGAAAATCTCATCCATCTTATTAAGAAATGCATTTTAATACAATTTTCTTTCTTAAGCCTATTACCTATAAAATGTGTACTATATTTGTATAGCTTGATCAGCTGTATTCATAAGAATATTAATAAAAACTCAATCCAGGAGAATTTTTTAAATGTCTTAAAGACTCATGGTCATAGAAAATGTTTAAATATTAAGTACAGTTTATTTATAATTTTTTGTATAATTTGTTGGAATTGTAGCCAACAAAAAGATAAGGGCAGGGATGTTAAAAGAGGAGCCCCATGGCCCTTCCAGTGTTAACATCAAAAGTATTAACAGGCTGGGCGTGGTGCCTCACTCCTGTAATCCCAGCACTTTGGGAGGCCAAGGCAAGAGGATCACCTGAACCCAGGAATTTGAGATCAGCCTGGACAACATAGAGAAGTAAATTCAAGGGTGAGCAGTAAAATGCATTAAAACATAAAAGTGTATATTCAAATAAAATTCCCTAGGGAATATGGAAAGGAAGTATGAAATTGAAGGAGAAGAATAAATAAGAAAAAATTTGTGCTAAAGAATTCTTTAAATACATTTATTTACCATAAACTTTATGGTAAAGAAGAGTTTTATTTAAAAATGTCAATGCTGGACATTATATAACTTACAGCTGTTTGAGAATTATATAGTTTACAACTATGTAAACTTTTGATGAACTAAATATGTTTAAAATGGGGTGGATAGAATACTATGCAACCATAAAAAAGGATGAGTTAAAATCCTTTGTAGGGACTTGGATGAAGTTGGAAACCATCATTCTGAGCAAACTATCACAAGGACAGAAAACCAAACACTGCATGTTTGCACTCATAGGTGGGAATTGAACAATGAGAACACTTGGACATAGGGTGGGGAACAGCACACACCGGGGCCTGAGGTAGGTTGGGGACGGGGGGGAGGGATAGCATTAGGAGAAATACCTAATGTAAATGACGAGTTAGTGGGTGCAGCACCATGGCACATGTATACATATGTAACAAACCTGCACATTGTGCACATGTACCCTAGAACTTAAAGTATAATAATAAAATAGTTTAATTATTAAAGTAATAATAAAAAATGAGTATATAAATATAAAAAATAATTAAAATAAAAAATATTTTAACTTAAAAAATAAAAAAACAAAAGGAAAAATAAATAAATAGATAAATAAAATGCAGTGGGGGGGGGCATACATAATTTTCAACTGAACTAAAAGGCTTGAAGGCCACCCTTGTAGTATTTGACCAAGACATGTACTTGGAGAGAATGGCAAATGATACAAGCACGTTTTAAATTATGTCTTTTTGGCCAGGAGCGGTGGCTCATGCCTGTAATCCCAGCACTTTGGGAGGCCGAGGCGGGTGGATCACCTGAGGTCAGGAGTTCGAGACCAGCCTGGCCAACATGGCAAAACCCTGTCTGTACTAAAAATACAGAAATTAGCTGGGGTGTGGTGGTGGACGTCTGTAATCTCAGCTACTTGGGAGGCTGAGGCAGGAGAATCGCTTGAACCCGGGAGTTGGAGGTTGCAGTGAGCCAAGATAGCGCCATTGCACTCCAGCCTGGGCCACAAAAGCAAAACTCTAGCCATATATATATATATATATGAAATATTTATTTATTGTTATATATATAAAATAATAAATTCCGTCTTTTTGCCCAGTGTGGCATAGACTAACTTAAGTTAAAGACACCTCCTCTGAGCCCATGGTAAAAAGAAAGAGACAGCCATGTGCTTCTCCCTGGATAAGTTGCATCTAACATGAGATAAAAGCGTCTTAGGGAGGCGTGCAAGAACAGTGGGTAGACGTTTTGCATCCGTAACTGGTCAAGCACAGGTAAGTAACAATGGATGATGAACTGTAGCAGTCAACATGCACAAGTGCTTTCTGGACACACTTGTGTTCTGATCACAGGACTGCTAGGGTGGGGCCGGCTGGGAACCTAACCACTTTGCTGGGTATAAAGGTCCACTCCCGTCTCATTTCCCCCTCCCTCTCTCTTTCCCTCTCTGCGCCTGCAGTCACTGCTCAGCATCCCAGGCTCGCCCTTCCTCTCTCGCCACAACAGCAAGAGCAGCATCTTCAGTTTCAGGGGACCTGGGCGGTTCCGAGACCCGGGCTCCGAGAATGAGTTCGCGGATGACGAGCACAGCACAGTGGAAGAGAGCGAGGGCCGCCGGGACTCCCTCTTCATCCCCATCCGGGCCCGCGAGCGCCGGAGCAGCTACAGCGGCTACAGCGGCTACAGCCAGGGCAGCCGCTCCTCGCGCATCTTCCCCAGCCTGCGGCGCAGCGTGAAACGCAACAGCACGGTGGACTGCAACGGCGTGGTGTCTCTCATCGGCGGCCCTGGCTCCCACATCGGCGGGCGTCTCCTGCCAGAGGTGAAAATTGATAAGGCAGCTACCGATGACAGTGTAAGGAAGAACAAAAATAGATCGAGGCTAGGCATGGCAGTCTCCCCAGCCCTTTCCCCTCCTCTTTCCCTGCTCTGCCCATCCCACTTGGTCTGTCTGGACCCCACTCCTGTTAAGACCCCAGCCTTTTCTGTGGTCTTCCTGGTCTACTTCTATTTCTTCAGTCCTCCCTCCCCCTATTACTCGCCCTATCTTCTCCTTTCCTTTATTCTTTGCTCTATTTTCCCCATCTTCCCTCCCTGTTTGACATTCCTTCTCTCCTATCAACTCCTTCCTTTATTTTACCGTTTTCTTTCTGTCCATCTTTATCTTTGCAAGTCTGTGTGCCTGTGTTTCCCTCCTCCCACCTGCTTTGACTGAATGCCTCTGGCCCCGGAGCCTGCCCGGAGGGAATGAGAATGCCATCGAGCCACCACCAATGACCAAGTCTGAGCCGGTTTGGAACTACCATTGCTTCTCTTCCCCCACGTCTTCTACCCTCCTAGAGAAACAGCTTGGAATTTAGAGATCTTATCCTTTAAACTTCAAAAAAGTAATTGAGTTTTGAAAAATGTTCTAAGTCTCTTCTGCAAGAATGAGATGTGCTTTTTCTAAAGAGGAATGCTCATGTGATGCCAGGGTGGGAGGTGTGTACCAGCAGAGCCAGGCAAGGAGAGGTTAAAGAGGCCATTAGGAAACTGGACCCGGACTTTTAAAAGGGATTGAAATTGAAATAAAGGAGGAAAAAGTGGGAGGTTGGGGCAAGAACACATTGTATATGGGGGAGGAAGGAAAAGGGAAGCAAAAGATGAATTTTAAATGTAATCAAATGTCAGGCTCTGGAGGAGTTACATATAATAGCTTCACAAAATCAGTTATCTAGAGGTTTGGATAATGGTGCCCCTCTTTGGGAAGAGCCATCTCCTAACATTTCTTTAAATTCTAAGCTGTTTATACCTTTTTTTATTTTTAAATTCTTATAACCTCAGTGATCCTAATCCTACATACCTCTAATTTCTAACTTTCCTCAGTCCCTCTTCAGCTGGTATAAGCTCCTTGAGATAGCATGTTAGTCTATTTCGTTCTAATACTTCAGTTTCTTCTAACACAGCATGAAGATAGCCAATCCTTTAATTAGCATGATGCATGTATAGAGGAAAACTGGACAATCATGGATAAAATTTTTCAGAATATCTATTTTTAAGCATTTTAGGGTAATTATTGAATGTATAGATAAAATATCAAAAGGCAATTTGTATGTGTTTGGGATTGTCTAGTCTCACCCTTCCCTTTTATTTAAAAGCAAAATACAGCCAGGCACAGTGGCTCACACCTGTAATCCCAGCACTTTGGGAGGCTAAGGAAAGAGGATCACTTGAAACCAGGAGTTGGAGACAAGCTTGGCAACACAGTGAGACCCTGTTTGTACAAAAAATAAAAATAAAAAACGTTGGCCAGGCATAGTGGCATTTGCCTATAGTCCCAGCTACTTGGGATGCTGAGGCAGGAGGATCACACGAACCCAAGAGTTTGAGGTTACAATGAGCTATGATCGCTACACTTCAGCCTGAGTGACAGAGTGAGACTGTATCAAAAATTAAATAAAATAAAGCAAAAATATTCTCCCCCTTACATTTGTATAGCTTTTTATAAGCTACAAATTACTCTTACATGCATTATTTAATTTGTCCTAAATAAAAATTCTGGGCTGGGCGTGGTGGCTCACGCCTGTAATCCCAGCACCTTGGGAGGTCAAGGCAGGTAGATTGCTTGAGGCCAGGAACTCAAGACAAGCCTGGCCAACATGGATGAAACCCCATCTCTACTAAAAATACAAAAAATTAGCTGGATGTAGGAGGCTGAGGCAGGAGAATCACTTGAACCTGGGACGGGGAGGTTGCAGTGAGCCAAGATTGCACCGCTGCACTCCAGCCTGGGCAACAGAGTGAGACTCCATCTTAAAAAAAAAAAAAAATCTGTAAGGGTGACTAAGTGAAGATTAATATTTCTGTTTTTCAGACAGGGAGAAGGTTCAGAGAATTTGTGTTCCTTTGGGTCTTACAGCTCATCACTGATAGAACCAGAATCTCAGACCCGTCAGAGACCCTAATCTTCTGTGTGCCAGTTAATTTTAATTTGTTCTCTGCCTAGACACTTGGCCGTTGCTCTTCTGGAGACCTATTTATTTAAGATCAGCAACAGTAAGAACAATAATAATCCTCTGGTTTCTCTTCAGATCGTATAAATCTTTCACTTTTTATAACAATAATAAACAGTGGCCTGGGCATGGTGGCTCACGCCTGTAATCCCAGCACTTTAGGAGGCTGAGGTGGGCAGATCACCTGAGGTGTGGGGTTTGAGACCAGCCTGGCCCACATGGCAAAATCTCCATCTCTACTAAAAATACAAAAATTAGCCAGGCATGGTGGTGTGTGCCTGTAATCCCAGCTAATCTGGAACCCAAGGCATGAGAATCGCTTGAACCTGGGAGGCGGAGGCTGTAATGAGCCAAGATTGCGCCATTGCACTCCAGCCTAGGCAAGAAGGGCAAGACTCTGTCTCAAAAAAGAAAAAAAAAAAAAAAAAAAACAGTAGCTCCAGATAGTTGGCCAAAATAAATGTTAGAGATACTTATCTTTACATTTAATTTTTATTTGATTTTCACTAATTCTGTGAACAGGGATAAATTTTGGTCTCCACAATTAGATAATTATGTTCTCAGAAAAAAACAAGAGATAATATCAATGACAAATGAAGGATGGATCAACATGGGCAGTAGAGTTGGGGCAATTCAAATGTTTAGAATCAAACTGAATTTTGATATACTGGCAGTTTTTAAAAATGTTTAAGCCAAATAATGCAGCTTGCCTTTTCTCTGACCAGAGAGGTGTTAGAGAAGGTATTCAGGAAGAAGGAGCTTAAACTTCAGCTGAAGAGAGATGATCAGGTTTGGGGGTTTTGTTTTTGTTTTTTTAGCACCTTCTGTTACACTGTGTGGGAGAAAAAATTGAGAGTCAGTGAAGCAGATGGCTGTGGAATGTAAGGCTTTCTGTACTGCTTTACACTGTGGTCTGTAAAGGTCTGCCTTTGGGCTGGGGGACCTACATATCCAGTACCCTATAAACACTTAGGAGGTTCTCTGTAGTGACCTCAAGTGAGGATGGTGACAGACTTGAGAATTCCCAAGACCAGGAGGTCACAGTGGCAGGCATATGAGGTAGGCAAGACCATATCATTCCCAAGGGCCTCGTAACTAGGAAAAACTATTTTTATTTATGTGTTTATTTATGTTATTAGAAGTCATAAAGAAACTGTTATGGCTGGTTGTTAATGGTGTGGGAAAATGCCTAAGTTACATTAATAGGCCCAAAGGAAGAAAACAGCAAAACGCGATGCATATAGTTTGTGTGGTGTGATACCAAATTATATAAAGACAAACTACATAGAGAAAAAAGATGACCAGCCGAAAGTTAACAATGGTTGCCTTTGAGAGAAGAAATTATTGACTTTTTCTTCCTTATACTTTTCTGTCCTTTCTGGTTTTCTGTAGTGGGCATAATGATTGTAGCCATCATATATTGAGTTCTTCTTATACTATGCTGAGTACTTTATGTACATTATCTCATTTTATTCTTATAATCACTTCATTCAGTAGGTGGTTTTATCCTATTAGCAGATGAGACTCAGAGAGCGCTCTAGTGACTTGGGGAATTGGACCTTAAACCAAGGTCTTTCTGATACCAAAAGGAACTTCCTGACACCTTAAATATTAGCTCCTTTAGAAAGTGGGGAAAACAGTCACTTATTTTAGAAGGGCACAGTATATTAATAATTTTATGTTACTCAGTATTATAAATTTAATTATAAATTTAAAGAGATTCTAATTGTTTAATATCTCTTAAATTAACTGGAAGCCCAAGCCAGATGAAAATTAATACCTCTTTGGGCTAGGATGTAGTGATTGTTACTAGCAAACACTTTGGATGCATCCGCAGCCAGAGATTAGCCTGAGCAATTAAAATGCTTCCAGTCATGTATACTCATGCTTCATAGAGTGGCACAGGAGCCCCTGATAGTGCACACACTGGTCTCACACAATATTCCTGCTTAGGCTATGCCAAATCTCTATTTTTCCTTCAGGCTTAAGTTAAAAAATAGGCTGTAAGAAAAAAAAGACGTTCAGACATCACTTCATTAGATAGCCTCATCAAAAATTATTTTATATCTTCATTAGTTATTCAGTTGTGATTGAGTGTTGAGATTTTTTGATCATTTTGGAATTTCACCTTTGCTTTTTGCTGAAGCAGAGGATAAAGGAACTTTTTCCTGCATCTCCATCTCTGAGCTGGAAAAGTAGGTGAGAATCATTGCTCTTCACCCGTTGCTACTGGCAATCCAGAAATCACATGCAATTGAGAAATCATGTTGAGGTACCTTGCAAATGTGTAAGCGTTATCTCATTTAATGCTCACAGCCCCGACCTTATGAAACAGATACTGCTATTGGCTGCGTCTGACTGAAGAGAAGCCAAGGCTTAGAGGACTAAAGTAACTTGTCCAAGATTGCACAGTAAGCAGTAGAGTTAGGACTGAATCCAAGCAATCTAACTCCTAAGCTTTTACCATTAGCCATTACAATATACTAACTCTGAAGCCCAAGTTCTGTGTTTATGCATGTGATCCTGGGAAATTAAACTTCTCTAAGCCATTTTCTTCTTTGTAAAAAAGAAATAAAAGGACCTCTGTTATAGGGCTGTTGTGAAGATAAAATATCTATATGTTATTCAATATAATATGCTTCGTATATAAAATGTGAACCATATTGTGTGGCCCATTCTTGCTGTTCGGAAAGCCAATTTTCATTCCTTTTCTTACACATTTTTGGCCCTGATAGCTGTGAGAAGTAAACAGTACCGAATTGCTTGACTTGGAGAAGGTGGGGCCCCTTCTAAAAATCCTTTGTTTGAGAAAGAGAAATTATTATACAATTATTTTAAAGCAAAACACTATGCAAATTTGAGA